TTAGTTGAGTCGGGCTAATATTAACCCCCATCTAGTTCATTGCCCGCAAGGTCAAGGCCGCCATTGACGGTGGCCTCAGCGTTATCTTCTGCATTGGCGAGACTCTTGAGGTATGTGGGCCTGTTACTTTCTCTGATTTTGCTTTTTTTTAACCTCGCGACTACCCCTCTTCGAGCTCGCGGTGACCCGGTGAGATGAACCGAGACTAATGCAACCCCCCAGGAGCGTGAGGCCAACAAGACCATCGACGTTGTCACCAAGCAGCTCAACGCTGTTGCCAAGGAGCTCACCAAGGAGCAGTGGGCTAAGGTTGTTGTCGCCTACGAGCCCGTCTGGTAAGTTCTCTATCAATTCGTCTGGCCTGCTGGTCGCACGCTAACCCCGATTCAGGGCTATCGGTACCGGCAAGGTCGCCACGACCGCCCAGGCCCAGGAGGTCCACGCCGCTATCCGCAAGTGGCTCGTTGATGCCATCTCCCCCGAGGCTGCCGACAACACCCGCATCATCTACGGTGGTTCCGTCAGCGAGAAGAACTGCCGTGACCTGGCCAAGGAGGCCGATGTCGACGGTTTCCTGGTTGGTGGTGCCAGCTTGAAGCCTGCCTGTATGTATAACCTTCCATTTGGTTGAAGCAGCTTACTGACCAATTTGTTGTAGTCGTCGACATCATCAACGCTCGTCTGTAAACAATGGAATGATTGATGGACATGTGATATGATATCCGAATCCCAATAGGCGGGGAAGTCAGCCTGGAAACTCTGCAGACACCATGAACAATTGCAGAGCATGAAAATCTATAAAGAATATAAAAAATCGAATTTATACCAAATAAATCCAAATTGAATACCACCATTAACCTTACCTTCCCCATGCACCCTCTGTAATTATAACTCTAGACTACTCTATCAATTACCTAGTAAGTTGCAGTATAATCATAGCACATATCATAGTATCTACATCCATCCCCACACCCCCCACGCCCAATATAACCCGTCATATAGATCAATAATATACACAAGGATCACGACGAATACGACACCGAAACCCCCACCCCCCTCCAATACGACTTCCTCAAACTCCCAGACTCCCCACCACCCCCATCAGAAGCATACGACGAGGAAAACGAACTCGGTCCCAACCCCACCCCAGCACTAACCAACAACTCCTTGACCCGTCCCTCCCACAACAACCGCACATTCCACGACTGATCCACCCGGATCTTCAACACGGATTCGTTCTGCTCTTCCTCTTGTTTCCCCTTTCCCAATCCACGGCCCACTAAGTCCTTAAGATCGTCAGGAGGTGTAGCTGTAGACGGATGCGGATGAGGAAACAAGCTCTCGCGAATCTTCCGTCTCGCCCACTCCACCCCATCACCATCATCATCACGATAGCGGGGTTTACTCTTCCGCCAGAGTTCGCACCCGGCTACCATCTCGCTTTCCCAACTGTAGACATTGAATCCGAAGCGGGAGCTGAATGCCAAATTCGGCGATGCGCGGAGCGAGTAAGTCGTTGAAAGTGAACCCGTTAACGGGGTCAGAGTGAGAGTTAGAGTATAGGGGAATGTCGAAATCGGAGTGTTGGCATTAGCACTACTGGTGCTAGTTGAAGGGGCTGACGAAGAAGAAGGAACATCCGTAGCAGCAGGTAACGTGCTAAACCTCAGGCCCGTGGACATGCCAATCAGCGACGAAACAGGCGAATAGTAAGCCTCCGCGCCCGCAGACAGCAACGACAGCCGCGGCGAAGACCCTGAAGGGACAGGGTCCCTAGGATCGGGCCCGAAGTTCCATAGCCCCCGCCAGCCGAAGAGGGCATTATCCGTACTGAAGAGGTACTCATTGTTGTATTTCCCCGTGTTATGGGAGAGTTGTGCGAGGAGGGAGGCCTGCGGGGCGGATTTGGAGAGCGGCGGGCCTCGCGTTGAGCAGACTGCTAGGGACAACTGCATGGTTGGGGAGAGACGACGCAGGAAGAGGGCATTGAGGGTTGTCGGGGGTGGGAGGTGGAGGGTTGCGTGGAAGAGGGTGGCTTTTTTGCCGATGGAGTTGTATGCGGAGGGGGAGGCATCGTTGAGGAGGTTGTTGTTGTTGTCGTCGTTGATGAGGATGGTTTCGGCGATGGGGGCAATGGGCGCTTGTACTTGGCGGTAACCTGGGGAGAGCTTGCGGAGGGGGATTAGGGCACTTCGGCTGGGGAAGCTGTCTAGAGGGACGGTGCTAAAGAGGTAGGAGACGGAGCCGTCGATGAGGCCGACGGTGCCGAGGGTGTAACTTGTTGCGAAGTGCGGAGTGGAGAGGGAGGAGAGATGGACGCGGAGGCGCTCGGGGGTGGAGAAGTCGAGGAGGGCTGGGGACTTGTTGTTAGTGGTGTTTTGGATGGAAGTTGAGAGGGAGAAGGGCTGGTATGCATACACTGCGCAGTGGCCGTCAGCGACGAGTACGAGTTGTCGCGGTTCCAATTCGTCGCCTCGGCGAAGGCGAGTTGGATGTAATCCATGAAATCGAGCATTGTCGGGGATGGTGCGGAAGCAATGGGGATGAATCAAGCAGCCTCAGTAGTGAGACCCATCCAGCATGGTACAGCCCACCATTGACGGCCTGGGCCTGCAGTAGAGTATCCCGATGGGGAGAGAGAGTGAGTAGATGAAGCGGATTGAAGATGAAGCCCGCAATCAGCTCATTTCCCGAAGCAGACTAGGGCAGATGGGGGCACGGATAAGCCGCGCGACAACAATAATCCGGGCGTTATCGACAGCCGCAAAGAAAAAAAATCATTGGATCTCGAATCCACAATTTCCCGCGCCGGCTCTTTGCAATTATCACCATTTCAACCTACTCGTTTTCTTCGGTGCTTTCTTCATTTCTCCCAATATTCCTAGTGTCTAGTACTTTTCCACATCTCAATCAATAACCATGCCTCGTTCCAAGCGTGCCCGCGTCGTGCACGAGTCCAAGACCGTTAAGAAGTCCCACAAGGAACAGACCCGTCGCCTGTACGCCAACATCCGGGAATGCATTGAGAAATACGACCACCTGTTCGTCTTCGGTGTTGACAACATGCGCAATACCTATCTGAAGGATGTCCGTACCGAGTTCGCCGATAGCCGGTTAGTTCTTCCCCTGCAAATACCCCCCGCCTGCCCCTCTCCCCTCCAACCACAACAACAATCACCATGCAATGTAAACTAAACTAACCACCTGAACACAGTCTCTTCTTCGGCAAAACCAAAGTCATGGCCGTCGCTCTGGGCCACAACCCCGAGAATGAAGCCGCGCCCAACCTCCACAAACTCAGCCCCTACCTCACCGGCGCCGTCGGCCTTCTTTTCACCTCCCGCGACCCTCAATCCGTGACCGACTACTTCGACAACTTCCGGCCGCTTGACTTCGCCCGCTCCGGAACCGTCAGTACTCGGGCCTTCTCGATCCCCAACGGTCAGGTGTATTCGCGGGCTGGAGAGATCCCCGCTTCTGAGGACGAGCCGCTCAGCCACACTATTGAGCCGGAGTTGCGGAAACTTGGTGTCCCGACTCGGTTGGTCAAGGGCAAGGTTATGTTGGAGTTGACGGAGGGGCAGGAGGGATTCCCCATTTGCAGGGAGGGAGAGGTGCTCGATTCGAGGCAGACGACGCTGTTGAAGATGTTTGGAGTTGTTATGGCTGAATTCCATGTTGCCTTGAAGGCTCATTGGACGAGGGAGTCTGGTGAGGTGGAGATTCTGGAGAAGGATGAGGCTGGTATGGAGGTTGAGTAAGTTCGTTTAGGTCGGTTGATGATGCTTTGAGAAAAAGTTTCGATTCGGTATTTTTCTTTAGAGTCGGGGTTCCTGCTGGTGGTGCTGGTGGTGTTGCCTTGGTCTTGGGTCGTGGTAGGTTTTTCCTTCTCAATCTTTGAAGGAAAAAAAAACTATCTATCTATATGTGGACTTAAAAAGTCCAGCCTGTCTGACACCACCACCTCCTCCCCACACCCCTTTGATGATGAGATCCCCTGGGCATCTTTGGAGTTGGGTTTAGGCGTTTTCTTTCCAATGATTGATTGTCGAATTTTCGACTCGTGTGTGTGTTTCGTGTCTGATTCGGTATATACTACTATTCTGCTTCAGTTGATGAGCGTATGACGGACATACCGATATGAATAAACCAATCCGAACAGTTCAGTTACAATAGAATAACATCTCTCTCAAGTTCCTAGGATTACCATTACTACTACTATACTACTTGCTTAGTACCCACCGCTTAACGATGGCAACTAATGCCGCGGATGAAATATTTACATGATGAGATAACTAGGGCATATGTCACACACCCTGGATAGGAGTAGTATATCATTTTACCTTCATTTACTTACTGCATTGCATGTTGGCAATCAATCGGTCAAGAACTGACTGATAAGTTTTCTCTTTTTGACAAAAAAACAACCCTACCTGATCTTCTTACCTGAAACGAAACCCAGATCCCAAACCATAAAAAGCTCCGCCTGTGAAGACACAAAGTGTTGACTATCTAAAGTACATACTTACCCCCTGAAGAGAAGTAGCGGCCGCACACGGGCCCAAGGGAAATAAAACGACATGAGTAAAAGAAAAAGAGAAGAGGACACGAGTAGTAACAAAGACAAGAGAGTAAAAGAGCATGAGCGTGACAGGCAGGGAAAGAGGTGTGTCCGTTAAACAGCGCGTATCTGTGTCTGCTGCAACGGCGGGAAATCGACCTTCGAGGGGGGGAATTTGCGCCTGCCTGCTCCAAATGGAAGATGGATATCTCGTAACGTAACCAGGATTACGAAGGAAAGATGATGCATACGGAGCACTTCAACTGTTGTGAGTTATACGATGGTTGAAGTCCGATATAGCACGGAGCTTGAGCCTTGTTTGACCTTGCCTTACCCATTGCTGCAACGAGGTATAACAAGAGAAGGACCAAGTTAATGATACCCACCAGCAAACCCGTCACTGAACACTGGAATGGGGATATCCTTCGCGGACAGACGTTCAGTATCTTCTTTTGGCACGGGGATCATCATACGAATCATCTTCATGGTATCGCTTCCGCCCGTAGTCGTCGCCCCGGCCTCCGTACCTGTCACCACGATCGCGGTCGCGTTCACGGTCCCGGTCACGGTAGCGATAGCTATCCCTGTCACGGTCCCGGTGACGGTCACCGTCGCGGTCCCGATCCCGGTCTCGACGATCGCGGTCGCCAAACCCGTCCCGGGGCCTGATGGGTTCTCTGTTGCTGCCAGTAGCGCCGCGGGGTTCACGCTCGAATCTGCCACCACCAGGGGGACCACCACCGAATCCACCGCTGCGTCCGCCTCCCGGACCTGAAGGGGCGTTGGGGGGAGCCTGTCCACCTCCACCGAATCCGTTGCGACCACCTTGGTATCCGACACCTCCACGGGGCCCACCAAATCCACGGTCACCGCGGAATCCTCCCTTGAAACCACCTCTGCCGCCGAACCCACCACGGAATCCACCACCATAGCCACCGGGACCAGAGGGGGCGTTGAAAGAGCCAGGGCCGATAGGTCGAGAAGGCAAGGCCTTGGTGTAACCACGACCTCCGAGACCACCACCAAAGCGACGAGGCTTCCATCCCTTGACTGTACGACCGCGCTCGACGTCTACCAAGACACGGCGGTCCTTGATACGGATACCATCCGTTTCCTTGTAGGCAGCTGAAATCGTGACAAAAAGAAAACTAGGTTAGCATCAAGAAAGTACGGGGATTCGGTACCAGTCTGAATCCAGAGTGACAGGCGACTAGATCTGTAGCAATACCTTTCATATCCTTTTCGCGCTCATAGACAATAAAAGCATATCCTCTGTGTGGTTTCTTCGAGCCCTTTGGCGTTACGGTGTCTTTCACGATGCGAATCTGGGAGCAACGTTAATCATGTGTGTAACCCATCAAGCCCACTCGGCTTGTGACTGTACCCGTTCAATAGGACCGAAACGGCCAAACTCCCGTTCCAGGTCCGATTCCTTAACATCGTAGCTCAGTCGAGCGACAAACAGCGTCTTGAACGGATCGCCTCGTGCTTGTTGGTCGTTGGATGGTTCATCTGCAACAAATCATCAGTATTAGCACAGAAAAAGCCCAGAACAGATGCGATGATCATACAACTCTCGAGGCCTTCCGTCAATTGCTTGTTAATGTTCTCTTTCTTCTCCACCTTCTGGCGCAATTTGCGCTGGATCCAGCTTTCCGTAGGCGTGTATGGGATCTCTTCCTCGTACTTCTTCACCTCGGGCAGAAACTGCGCAATACCACCAATGCTACTCTTCTTGCAGTCTTCTGGGGCACGGTTGATGGGGGTGACATAACGCAGAGGCGGGCGAGGTTGGAAGAGCGCCAGAAGCGGAGGGGGGAGCTTGTCCGTCATGTTGTGCCCTCAGCCAGTGCTCTGAATAAACGTGAAAAAAATTAATTCAAAGCCTTCAGAGGCATCGAGGATGAAAGGACGAGATGGGGGAAGAGGAGATATGGCGGTCTTTTGTCACTTGGTCCTATTAGCAGCGTTGGGGGGAGTTTCGCGTTCCTCCCGTCAGGTGCTTGTCTGCTTCTGGAACCGCTAGTCGCGGTAGCCGAGCTTGCCGCTGCACCCAATGACGGCTCTGTATTGGAGGCGGCCCTGAAAAGTCCCCGAAGAGTGTCCCTCGAGATTGTTGGAAAGCTGTTGACGCCTTCGCTGTGAACATACAAATCCCAGATAGCCGCAATGCCTCTTCAAGGGATCCGGACGGTTACGGCCGCTAGAGTATGTGTTCTTTGGGATCTTATCCGTCTGTGTCTCCTAGACTAACTTCATCATCCAGAACGGTGTCGGTGCCTTTATCCTACAATGCAAGCGGTTGGATTTCCACTACTGTGACTGGGCTGGTAGCTCCCGGGGCATGGTGTATGTTCTTCTTTCTCTGTTGGGTTGTTATCTTTGATCCGAAAGTACTAATATTTGTTTTATGATAGTGCCTACCTCAAGCACCACCTTCCTGCCTTCGCGAAAGCAAACCCTCAGATCGAAATCCGAGTATCGCCGCGGCCACACAAGCACCCCGTAATCAAGGGACACTACATCAATGGACGGGAGAAGGCGGTTTGCGTGCGGAATCTCGAGCCTGAGCAAATAGGCAAGAAGGCCGATCTGTTGAAGCAGGCCAGCGGAGAGAAGTTGAAGCGCACCAAGAAGCCCGTCACGAGTATCAACGAGAGTGTCAGGGGCATCTGGTCTCCGTACCACGGTGGCTACAAGTCGGTGTAAAGATGGGGGATTGTGCGATCATACGGTGGTGTTCTTTTTCTGGGTCAAATATCATTTCCTATTCGATGTATTATGGGTTACTTCATCTGTTTTGTGTACCTGCCTTTTGCGAACCCGACTCTGTCTTTGTTTGAACGATATGTATCATATGTACAGAATGTCTTTATTTGATATCCCATGAAATGGGCTCCCGCTCCCCGTATGCAGCAAAGTAATTATCAGGAAAGTAGAGTGTCATTATCCACATGGATGGCCCCGACCGGACCACCACCTATACCCAAAACGCTCTCTATGCCATAGAGGTAAACACAAACATAATCCCGCCCAACCGAAACAAATGCAATGAGGGTATCAAAATGTTGCTCGTAAATGCCAAGGTTAAAGTTCAGAAAGGAAGCCCCGCCCATGCGCCACCATCATCACATGCTATTACTATGCAAACGCCAGAGATGGTATGCAGCATCATTATAGATATATTTGGAACATTGACTTGGGCGAGCTAACGGGCTTCCCGCAACCGAATACCTGGCATTTAGAGAAAGGCTTGGCTTTTGAAGCGTTCTTTTTCGCCTTCGACAACGATCGGTTCGAGGCACAGTCGCCACAATATACCTATGGTCAAGGTTAGAAGATGATAACGAACGTCGTTAACCCGGGAATCACGTACATGTCCACATTGCTTGACCACCCATATCTGCTGTTTGGTTTCGTCACCAGTACCCAGTTCCATATCACAATTCGGGCATACAACCACATCGTCCTCTGCAACATTTCGGGTGAACCCCTCCGGTGGCGGACTTGGAGGTTTGTAGGCGTTTGCGGGCGTCCTTTGCCGTGTCAGGCCCGTTAGTTGATAGTCTAATCCTAACGGGCCATCCACATCCAAGTTGATCGTTAGATCTATGGCGCCCGCCGGGCCATCTCCGATCCAGAATGACTCCACATCACTTATTGGAGGATGTCTCCGAAATCCTCGAAACGATAGATCCGGTCTGCTATGGTCTCCAACCCGTCCAGGTGGTCTCGGGGATCGAAACTGTAGCATCTGCTGCCACAAGCTGGGCATATAGAAACCTTCATTGCTGCGCGGCGGAGGCGGAGGTGGTGGTTGTGGCGGCGGCGGCAACTGTGGCCGCCTCACGGTGGCTCCGATGAATTCGACTTCGGGGCTGCTGGGGGGTTGTTGCTGGTCATTATCGTCCACCTCTTCCTCTAGATCAACCACTTCCGTGAGGATGTCCCTGGGAAATCGGGGAGGACGCGGCCGAGAAGCTTCGTTCGTTGTACGGGACTCTTGCAGTGACGAATCCTGATAGGGTGTATCGGGCTCATCGGTCAGGTCTATCACATCTTCAGACGGCTGGGTTGTGGCCGGTCGGCGGAGGTCGAGGCCGTCCCCGGGGTAGCGCCGAAGCGGTGGCAACGAAGGCCCCGGTGTTGCGGAAAGGGATGATGAAGATGGTTCTCCGGATGGACGTCCTGAAGAAACTTCGGATATCTCGCGGTGAGTTCTCTGGAAGGTGGAGTCGGGCGTCAGTTGAACCTCCAATCCCTTGATCTAGCATGGGGATACCCCGCCTCCATGAGGAGATTCGAGGGACGACGGGGAGATTTGATACGAACCTTTCGGGGGCGAGAGCCCACAAACAAGACACCTGAATCGTCACTCATCCCGGAAACCAATCCGCAGGGGAAGACGACGGTGTTGGAGGGGAAGAGAAGGTGGGAGAGGGAAAAAGGGCGAGGGGAGGGCGGTTTGATGGCAAGAAGAAGGTGAGGTAGTAGTGAGTTATTAACAGCCGGTGTTAGGCCTCACTTGCGGTTGGTGGAACGCCATGCTTAGTCGTGTTAACGAAGTGGTCTGGGTCCGAGTGCCCTGCGGTCAGGAGTGGCATGTCTCCGGTTCACTTGCTTTTTGCCTCACTGAACACCGTGAGAGTTTGTCCAGCATGCCACTCTTCAGTGAATGGACGGACCCTCTGGGAGTACTACTGAGTACTAGTAAGAGTTCTGGCACTTGCAGTTCCAGGGTAGTAATCCGTGGAAATTCAGAGCCAGGCGGAGTGGTTCAGTTTGCGGAGGGGAGACAAATATATTTTAGTCTTATAATTTAGTAGTATGAGGGTTCCCGCCGACTTGCCCAGCACCCCCGATCACTGCGTGAATGACTTGTCACCATCAATCACCAATAATCACAGCAGTAGGTAGTAGGTCTGCTGACAACTCAGATTCTGGTTGTTTCTATGCTCATGATAATCCCATTATAATCCGGGTTCGTTATTGTTGCCAGGTGGCTTCTCCTTCCTTTATTCTTTGGGTTTGGTCTGAGAGAAAAAAAAATAAAGACGCCGGTGACGAAAAAGAAACAACAACACATAAGGAGAAAAAAGAAAAGTAGCACCGACAGCTAGAAATACAAAACAACAAATGGAATTTTCACTCCGTATCCATAAGTAGGTATCATAATTACTGTGCCGTCAGCTCCGTCACGCCTCCCTCGCTGTTCAACGCCACGATAGTCTGGGCGGCAGAGCCCCAAGCCGCCGCAACCGCGGGCACCGCGCTCCGCAAGGGCTCGGACCACGACTTGGAGGCCTTGGTGTATTGATGCACCGTCAAGCCACTAGGTCCGGCGGTCAGAAGGAACTGTCCAGTGTAATCCCAGTTAATCGAGTCAACCTGACTCCCCGTCTCCAAAACCTTGCTCTCCTGTGCGCTACGGAGATCCCAGATGGATACAGTGGTCGAGTTCTGGGTAACCGCGGCCAGGAAAACACCATTCTCGGAGAAGAAAAGGGATTTCACAGGGCTAGACATGGCGAAAGTGGCAGCGGACGCGCCAGTCTTGATATCGAAGATCTTGATTTGCCCGTCCACGCCACCAGCAGCAACCAGGTGGCCGTCAGGGTGAATCTTGACCGAGAGAAGAGCTGAAAAAGAATGCAATGTCAGTCATGTCCGGACATACAATTTGTCATCGGGCTACTCACATGCGTCACTGAAAATCTGAGTGATGACCGAGTTCGTCGTAAGGTCATACAGAACGTAGCTCTTATCGGCGCCAACCGACGCAACAATGTCACCAGTAGCATGCACGGCAAGCGCGGTTGCGGCTCCAGCATGGGAGTTGAAGTTGGCGACCTCGTTGCCGTTCTCGAAGACCTTCACAGAGCCCGTAGACGATGCCACAATAGCCTTCTCGCCTGCCCAAACGGCATCGGTAACTGGTCCGTTTGCCTGCAGGTCCTGGACAACCTGCTTCTGGGGAATGGAATAGATGCCAACGGCACCGTCCGCGCCGCCGATGAGTGCCAGCTCTCCCGACGAGTTAACGGCGAATGCCTTGCTGCCGGGGTAAAGAGGGTTGGAGCTCTCCGTAGGCTTGTATGTGGAGATGGCTTCAGCCGTAGCCCAGCCTTCCGGAACCGGGCGCTTACGACGTGTCTTGGACAGCCTGTAGGTTGTTAGATATACCAAACGCAGTAGAATCCTATACATAGCAACTTACGATGCCTGTGTGCTCTCAACACGAGCCAGAACGGCCTCGGGCAGACCGGTCGAATCAACCTGCATAGCCTCACCACCGGAGGCAGCGGCACTCCTGGCACCGACAGTGACCTTGGATAGGGCATCACGGGCCTCGTCTCTCTCCTTTGTCAACCGAGCAATCACGCGAACGGCGGCATCGTGCTGGTAGAGCGCGGAGCTCAATTCCTGGCGGGTCTGTGCCAAGGTCTGTCGCAATGTGTAGGTTTCGAGAGCCAGGGCATCCCATTCTTCTTGGAAGACACTGAGCAAGGAAGGAATGGATGTGAGGGTGGGAGGTCTGGGGCGGACGACGCGCTGGGATTTGACATCAATGAGGTCGTCTGTGGAGAGCTCTTCTCCATTCACGGGATCCTTTCCATTCTCCGCGATGTAGGCTTCAATCAGTCGCTTTTCAAAGACGCTGCCTAGTCGAGCATTAGCTGCATTACGTCGCATCGATGCTTTCGAGGTTGAGACATACCGCTCTTGGGCGAGACGACGGGCACTTGCGGTGCCTCTCCCGAAACTGTTGCACATCAAACATCAGTAATTGGACCTGCAAGAGCAATTCATTGCACGACTTACTTGCGCAGAGC